GACTACCACGCCATGGAGTGGGTGGACCCGTCGCTGCGCCAGGACCCCGAGGTCGTCGCGGCCGCGCTCTGGAGCTTCGGCGAGAGGCGCCGCGCGGGCGACCCTCGCCCTCCCTTATCCCCCTCTGTTCCACTCATCGTCCTCTTCGTCCTCCTCCTCCCCACTCTCCTACCTCGTCGCCCTCCGCATCCTCGTCCTCGCCGCCCTCCCTCCCTCCTTCCTCCCTCCTCCTCCCTCCCTCCTCCTTCCTCCCTCCTCCTCCCTCCTCCTCCTCCTCCTCCTCCTCCTCCTCCTCCTCCTCTCCTCCTCCTCCTCCTCCTCCCTCCTCCTCCCTCCTCCCTCCTCCCTCCTCCCTCCTCCCTCCTCCCTCCTCCTCCTCCTCCTCCTCCCTCCCCCCCTTCTCCGACCCGACGACGAGCCCCCCCCCACCCCGAAAAAGTAGATAAACGTAACACGTCCGCTTCGGGGGGAGGTGCCGCGCGTGCAGCGCGGAGCCGCTCTGGGCCGAGGAGTGGCTGGCGGGCGGCCTCACCGTGCAGAAGGCCCGCGCCGGGCTGTCGGGGGGGCGCAGCGCCGCAGACGGGCCGCCGGCGATGCCGGTCACGGCGACGTGAGCTTCGGTATATTGTGGGAGCGCGTGGCGCCCGCTCTCCTGCGAGTCGCTGCGGCGTGCTCGCTCGATCCGTTTTCGCAGAGGGGGGGTGCAGGAAGCAGGGCTGGACCTGAACGGTGTTTGGGCGATCTCGTGGCCCGCTTCCGTTTCGACTCCGTGCTGCGGTGGGGGCGGGCGGAAGACCAAGCGAGGCAGAACGACAACGGCACGCAAGCGAAAGACACCGCTCAGGTCCTGCCCTGGCAGGAAGGCGTGGCTCGTGCTTTCCCGCGGTGCGCTTTCCGGCATCACTCAGGAGGAAAAGAAACACACAGACACAATTAATCGTCGATTTCCCAGAAAATATGGGAAACTATGGGAAGTGGGGGGGAAGACAGACACCCAGAAAATATGGGAAAATATGGGGAGTATTTTTATTTGTGTATTTATTTGTGTGTTCTGGGGCCCCTTCAATCACCGCCGAGCCGCATCGCCGCCCGCCCGGCCGGGGGGCAGCTGCCGCCGGGGGGCGGCGCGGGGCCCGGGCCTCGGGCGTCGCATATATGGGCAGGTTCGCGCCGTGTCGGCCGGCTGCGACCTCGCCGCTGGCGTTCCGCACTGAACGCCGCCGGCGGCCCAGAATCTCGGGCCGGGCGAAAGGGGGGGATTGGGAAAGGGGGGGGTACGAAATCCCACCAGCCCTCTGGGCGTCGGTGGTTTAGAGCGTTTCCTCCTCTACCCCTCCTTCTTCCCCTTCGGGGAGGGGTTTACCCCTCCCCCTACCCCCTCCCCACTGACCTGGACAGGGGGTTCCGCGGCGCGTTGGAGCGCCCAAGATCGACCCCTGGGAGGGCTAAAATTCGACACCCCTCACGAGGATCGTGGCTCCTGAGGGGGGGACTGTGATAAGGGAACCCCCCTTCGTTGATCGATCTCCTCCAAGATGGCTCCGAGGCCCCCCAAGAGGCCCCCAGGAGGCCCCCAAGAGACCCCCAAGATGCCCCAAGAGACCCCCCAGAGGCACCCAAGAAGCGCCCAGCCGGCCCCAAGAAGCGCCCAGGAGGCCCCCAAAGGCCCCAAGATGGCCCCAAGAGGCCCCAAGAGGCCCCCAGGAGGCCCCAAAGAGGATCCCGAACGGCCCACAGAGGCCCCCCCGAGGCACCCAAGACGCCGAAAAGCCCCTCAGGACGACCCTCTACTCGCCTGGGCGTCGTTTCTGGACGGGCTGGTGGGGATACTTTTTTTTTTTGACAGCCGCAGGCGGAAGCGCCGGCGGCGGCGGGTCACGGTCGGGCGCGCGCGGGGGCCGCGGATTAGGCGGCAGTGCAAGCTGCAGCCCAGGGAGTCGGAGGGGTCAGCCACCCAGGAAGCAGGGCGGACGCTGCCAAAATGGCGCGCCGCACATCCCCAGTCATGGATCGTGCCGGTCCGACAATCGCATGGTGATGGGAATCAGTCTCCGTGCAAGAGAGGTGTCAGGGTGCCCAGGGTGTCTGTCGGGTATGAGCGGACCGAAGGCGTAGAACTGACGTCGTCCAGCAGGGAGGGGAATTTCTGACAGCGCCAGCGAACCGTCGCAGCTTCAGAAAACGCATCCGGCGGCTGACAGGGTACGCCAGAAGTCATAGACAACCGAAGCCATCCTCAGAGCAACTGCGGAGGGATGCGTCTGCACGCGGGAGATCAACGACGTGATGTGCCGCCGTGCAGGGGTGTTGGTGGGGATACGCGAAGCGTCTAGAATTTGCTGCATGCAGCTGGTTTCGGCTTTACCGAGGGGCCCATTCCTAGATACATGGTCGCCTTCGGCGCCGGGAGGCGCCGGGAAAATCAGCTACAGGAGCTGATTCTCAAACCCCCCCTTTGCTATCCCCCCCTTTTGCCCGACCCGAGAATCGGGCGATGTTGGATCAGAACGTGAATTACCTACCCCGCTTTCGCTTCCAGGAAAAACCAAGTCATACCACGCGCCTCCTCGTCAAGCGGCCTGACCAGTACAGGCCGTAGTTTGGCATCGTTTGGTATCTCTTGGAAGCGATGGTGGTCAAAAGCGAGGTAGGTGTTGTTCTCCCCCCATTAAACGGACTTGACGTCCCCAGACACGATCGCGTCGTACACAGTGCAGGGCGGGGGGGGTTGGGCCATTTTCGGCCCCGGGGGGCCCTCGCTGGGCCTCGGGAGCGTCACGCGACGACTCGGGATGAAAAACTGGTCCTGGGGAAAGGGTCGGGACTTCCAGGGACCCGTAGTTACAAATCAGGACGCCACATGTCCGGGTCTCGGACACGTCTGATCGTCCAAGGTTGAACAATCCCCGCGGTGTCAGGAACCAACGCCCGGGGTCGAACTTGCCGTAGATGGGGGGCGATAAGTGGGCGGGCAGCGAGGGCTGCGGGAAAGGGGCCATTTCGGGTCCCTACATGGGCCTCGCAGGGCCCAAGAGGGGTGCCGAGACGTGCACCTTCCTCTCCCCCCCCCTCATGCACCGCCCCCCCCCGCAAAGCGACGCCCAAGGCCCACGCCGGCTGTCGGGGGGGGAGCGGCTGCCGGGGGTCGGCGCTTCAAGGATGGGGTCCCCTCGTCCGCCTCGCGCGTCTCGCCCTCATCCTCCGCCCTCTCCTCCGCCTCCGGAGGAGGAGGATGAGGAGGAGGAGCAGAAGGAGAAGGAGGAGGAGAAGGAGAAGGAGGAGGGAGGAGGACTAGGAGGTGGAGCAGGAGGGACAGCAGCAGCCGCAGAGAGGAGGAGTGGGAGCGAGAGAGGGAATTGGGAATGGGAAGGGGTGGGGGGAGGAGGAGGAGGAGGCGGAGGACACGGAGGCCGAATAAGAGGGGGAGGGCGGCGGTGTACAATGGGAAGGCGGGCGCGGAGAACGAGGCAGAGAGGGAGGAAGGGAGCAATAGACATGAGAGAGAGAGAGAGAGCGCATTCTGTAGGCGCTTGAGGGGCGGGGGCGCCACAACCAGTCCCCACCCCCTTGGATTCAGCGGGGGGAAGAGTTGTACCCCCCCCAGAGGGGTGGGTAAGTAGTTGGGGGGATTCGAACACCCCCCCTCTGGGCAAGCGTCGGCGCTGGCGGCGGCCGGCGGCGGCGGGGAGCGGCGACGACGCCAACGACGGCGACGACGACGACACCAAGCACGACAACGACGACGATGAACACCGTCGACGACGACGACGAGCACGACGGCGACGACGACGAAGACGTCGACAACCACGACGACGACGACGACGACGGCGACGAAAATCGACGACGACGACGAAGACGACGACGACGACGACGACGACGACGACGACGAGCACGTCGTCGACGACGACGACAACGACGACGACGACGTCGACAACGACTACAACGACATCGTAGACGACGACGACGACGACGATGGCGACGACGACGGCGACGACGACGGCGACGACGACGGCGACAACAACGGCGACGACGGCGACAACAACGACGACGACGACGACGACGACGGCGACCACGACGACGACGAAAGCGACGACGACGACGAGCACGACGACGACGACGACGTCGACGATGGCGGCGGCGACGACGACGACAAGGACGACGACGACGTCGACGACGACGATGTCGACGACGACGACGACGACGACGACGACGTCGACGACAACGACGACGACGTCGGCGACGAAAACCGACGACGACGACGCCAAAGACGACGACGGCGACGACGACGAAGACGGCGACATCGACGACGACGACGACGACGACGACGGCAACGACGACGACGACGACAACAACGACGACGAGGGTGACGACGACGACGACAACTACGACGACGACGGCGACGACGACGACGAGCACGCCGACGACGGCGACGACGACGACGAAGACGACGACGGCGACGACGAACGAGCACGACGGCGACCACGACGACGACGACGACGGTGGCGACGACGACGACGACGTAGACGACGACGGCGACGACGGACACGACGACGACGACGACGACGACGCGACGGACGACTGCGAGGACGACGGCGACAACGATTGCAACGGTGACGACGACGACAACAGCGACGACGAGGACGACGACGATGACGACGACAAGAACGACGACGGCGACGACACGACGACGACGATTGCGACGACGACGACGGAGACGACGACGACGAGCACGACGACGACGGCGACACGACGACGACGACGACGACGACGACACGTCGACGACGACGACGAAGACAACGACGGGCACGACGACGACGACGTCGACAGCGACGATCACAACGGCAACGACAACGACGGCGACGACGACGGCGACGACGACGACGACGAGCACGACGACGACGACGTCGATAACGACGACCGCGACGACGAACACCGACGACGACGAAGACGACGACGACTACGAGCACGTCGACGACGACGGCGACGACGACGACGACGACAAGAACGACGACGACGACGAAGAAAACCGACGACCACGACGACGACGACGAGCACGACGACGACGACAACGACGACGACGACGACGACGGCAACGAAAACCGACGACGACGACGACGAGCACGTCGACGACGACGACGACAACGACGACCACGTCGACAACGACGACGACGACGACGAGGGCGACGACGACGACGACGGCGACAACAGCGACGACGAGCACGTCGACGACGACAATGGCGACGACGACGACGAAGAAAACCGACGACGACGACTACGAGCACGATGACGACGACGACAACGACGACAACGACGACGACGACGACAGCGACGAAACCCGACGACAATGACGACGAGCACGTCGACGACCACGACGGCAACGACGACGACGACGTCGACAACGACGACTACGACGACGACGACGACGACGAGGACGACGGCGACGGCGACAACAGCGACGACGAGGACGACGGCGACGACGACAAGAACGACGACGGCGACGACGACGACGACGAGCACGACGACGACGTTGGCGACGACGACGACGGAGACGACGACGACAAGAACGACGACGGTGACCACGACGACGACGAGCACGACGACGACGTTGGCGACGACGACGACGAGGATGACGACGACGACAAGAACGACGACGGCGACCACGACGACCACGAGCACGACGACGACGTTGGCAACGACGACGACGGAGACGACGACGACGACGAGCACCACGACGACGGCGACGACGACGACCACGGCGACCTAGACAACGACGACGACGACGACGACGACATGAACGTCTACGACGACGACGACAACGACGACATGAACGTCTACGACGACGACGACAACGACGACGCCGACGACGACGGCAACGAAAACCGACGACGACGACGACGAGCACGCCGACGACGACGACGACAACGGCGACGACTGCGACGACGGCGACGACGACGACGACGACGGCAACGGCAACGACGGCGACGACGAGGGCGACGACGACGACGACGACGACGACGACGACGACGGCGACGAGCACGACAACGACGACGGCGACGATGATGACGACGAATACGACGACGACGAACACAACGACGACGACGACGTCGGCGACGAAAACCGACGACGACGACGCCAAAGACGACGACGGCGACGACGACGAAGACGGCGACATCGACGACGACGACGACGACGACGACGGCAACGACGACGACGACGACAACAACGACGACGAGGGTGACGACGACGACGACAACTACGACGACGACGGCGACGACGACGACGAGCACGCCGACGACGGCGACGACGACGACGAAGACGACGACGGCGACGACGAACGAGCACGACGGCGACCACGACGACGACGACGACGGTGGCGACGACGACGACGACGTTGAGGACATCGGCGACGACGACGGTGCTCACGACGACGACGACGCTGACGGCGACAACGAGCACGACGACGACGACGACGACGACGACGACGACGACGGCCATGACGACTGCGAGGACGACGGCGACAACGATTGCAACGGTGACGACGACGACAACAGCGACGACGAGGACGACGACGATGACGACGACAAGAACGACGACGGCGACCACGACGACGACGAGCACGACGACGACGATTGCGACGACGACGACGGAGACGACGACGACGAGCACGACGACGACGGCGACGACGACGACGACAAAGGCGACGACGACGACGAGCACGTCGACGACGACGACGAAGACAACGACGGGCACGACGACGACGACGTCGACAGCGACGATCACAACGGCAACGACAACGACGGCGACGACGACGGCGACGACGACGACGACGAGCACGACGACGACGACGTCGATAACGACGACCGCGACGACGAACACCGACGACGACGAAGACGACGACGACTACGAGCACGTCGACGACGACGACGACGACAACGACGACGATGACGACGTCGACAACGGCGACGACGGCGACGACGAGCACGACGACGACGACGACGATGCTCGCGGCAACGACGACGACGACGACGATGACGGTGACAACGAGCACGACGATAACGACGACGACGACGACGGTCATGACGACTGCGACGACGACGACGACGACGACGACGACGACGGCAACGGCAACGGCCACGACTGCGGCGTGGGCGACGATGACGACCACGACGACGACGACGACGAAGTCGACCACGACGACGGTGACGGCGACGAAGACGACGACGACGTCGGCGACGACGACGGTGGCGACGGTGTCCGCGACGACGACGACAAAACGACGACGGCGACGACGGCGACGACGGCGACGACGGTGACGACGACGAGCACAACGATGACGACCGACGGCGATGACGACGTCGACGAGTACGAGGACGACGGCGTCGACGACGACGGCGACGACGACGCCGACAAGCACGACAACGACGACGACGACGAAAACCGCCGACGACGACGGCGACGACGACGACGACGTCGACGACGGCGACGACGACGGCGACGACGGCGACTACGGCGACGACGACGGCGAAGACGACGACGGCGACGGCGACGGTGATGACGACGACGACGACGACGGCGACGACGACGACGATGACGACGACGGCGACGACAACGACGACGAGGACGACGACGAAGACAACGACGACGACGAGACCGATGACGACGACGACGACGACGACGTGGACGACGTTGGCGACGACGACGATGCTCCCGACACCGACAACGACGATGACGGTGACAACGAGCACGACGACGACGACGACGACGACGACGACGACGACGACGACGACGACGGCCATGACGACGGCGACGACGACGACGACGGCAACGGCGACGACTGCGGCGAGGGCGACGACTTTGACGACGTCGATGTCGACTACGACGACGACGGTGACGACGGCGACGACAACGGCGACGACGATGACGACGGCGACCACGGCGAAGACGGCGACAGTGACGACGCCGACGACGTCGACGACGACGACGACGGCGACGACGACGACGAAGACGACGACGACGACGACGGCGACGACGGCGACGTCGAGCATGACGACGACGGCGACGACGACGACGACGGCGACGTCGACGACGATGACGACGACGACGACGACGATGGCTACGACGACGACGAGGACGGCCACGACGACGATGGCTACGACGACGACGCTGGCGCCCGCGCTGGCTCTGGCGGAGGAAGGGTGGGGGGGGGTGTGGAAGGGGAGGGAGGGGGGCGGGGAGTCGAAGTGACTCTGTCCCCGACGGCGCCAGACGTTCCCAAGGCCAGCGCCTCTGACACGCGCTCCTGCAAACATGATGAGGGGAGGGCGAGGCAGGAGGAGGAGCGAGGGGAAGGAGGGAGGGAGGGAGGGGGGGAACACGGCGGGAGGGAGGGAGGGGCCGGCGGGGGGAGGAGCATGCCGAGAGTGAGCAGGAGCAGGAGAGGACGACGATGAGGCTCGCGAGCTGGCGTGGCGGTGGGTCTCCACCGTCGAGTCTCGCTACTTCAAGAGGGCGCTGGACGCCATCGTCCCGGCCGTGGAGGAGCCGGAGGAGCCCGGGGCCGTCCAACGCCCACGTCTTCTGGCGTGGTTGCTTCTGCGCTCCTGCGCGGAGCGCGGAAGGGAGAGCTCGAGGGAGCTCCTCTCACGCAGCCTCCGCTCCGCAGCGGTCCCCGCGACTGATCTCGTGCCCGTCGGGGCCGTTCGGGCTGCGACCATGCCGTGGCGGCGAGGGGGCCTCGAGGAGCGCGCAAGGAGGCCTCCGAAGGGAAGGCGTCGCCGTCTCCGCCGTCGCTGTGGCCGTCGCCCGATTCTCATCCTGGCCTCCTCTGCAGGAGGAATATTCGAGAGTGATAAGAAAGATAGTCTGGCGGCGATATTCCATCTATTTCTAACCATTTTTGAATATGTCTGGCTTTAAAAAACAACATTGTTCTGCCAAATTCCATCTGTAGGAGAGGACATGCCCGACCTGATCCTGGCCGGTCCTTCGAGCTGCGCCCAGCCGTGGCGGCGAGGGCCTCGAGAAAGGCCAAGAGGTCTCCGAGGAAAGAAGGCGTCGCCGTCGCAGCCGTCGCCGTCGCCCGAGGTCCCCCCCAGGGGCGCCAAGATCATCGACAAGCAGTGGCGATGCGTCCTGGCTTGCCTACAGGGCCACCAAAGAATGTTCGAAGAACCTGTTGTGGTTTGCACGCAGTGTTCTTGGAGCTTTTCTGGCTGAGACCGCCTTGTTCTAAAACATGTGGCTTATGCTTTAAGAGAACACCGTTTTTGTTATTGGAGCTTTGGGGGTTCTGAGAAAATTTCGTGGTAGGCCGATACAGTGGAGACCCATGTCAAGAAGCACCCTGTTTGCCTCCAGGGTGCCCTGGGTTTCTTGGGCTTCGCTGGTTTTGCTGTGGAAAGCGTGACCTTCCCACACCAAAGATCGATAGACGTCTTGGGGTCTCAGGGTTGGGTTTCTTGTGGTAGGTTTCTTGTGGAGTGGCCTCCACTGTAGGAATGCCGGGACGGTCGGTCCCTGCTCAACATCTCTGGACGCCCGAAATGGGTGCGGAAAGAAAGGGTACAATGCCCAACAGCAGTTCCTGTTCACTCTGAACCGGATTCGCTGTCCACGCCGCCGCGGCCTGTGTCCATTCGAGACAGGATGCCGCCCGCCCAACAGCGGCCGCTGCTGGCTTGGCACAACCTTTGCTGTTGGGCACTGTGCCCATTCTCTCCGTACCCATTTCTTCGATGCTCGTTTTGGGGACCTTCCTGGGGGCCACCCAATGGATCTGCTCGACGCAGGTTCGACTCAAGTTCGGCTCAAGTTCGACTCAGGTTCGACGCAGCTTCGACGCACGAGTGGAGCGAGTGACTGCAGGAAGGTCCCCAGAATGAGCATCTAACATTTCGGGCGTCCAGGGCTCGGGCCGGAGAGCTGGCCCTCTCCCGGCCCGCCCCGCGAGGGCGCGGAGGCGGCCGCGCGCCGCGTCCTCGCGGGGCGCGGTGCGCCGAGCGGGGTGGCCGGCAGTGGGAGGCTCGGGCCAAGGAGCACCCTGCTTGCCTCCGTCGGGGGTGGACAGAACCCCCAACAGTGACACGTCGATTGGTGAATTGTCCGTTTTCGGTTCTCGAGAGGGCGCCGTGGCCGTTCTTTTCCAGGCCTGCGCCCGCCAGGTTTGGGCCTCAGGCCGTTTTCACTAAACCACGTTTTACTAAAGGGAGGTCTGTCCATCCCCGACTCCGGGGTGCCCTGGGCTCTGGACGCCCGAGATGGGCACGGAAAGAAAGGGTACGATGCCCAACAGCAGTTCCTGTTCACTCTGAACCGGATTCGCTGTCCACGCCACCGCGGCCTGTGTCCATTCGAGGCAGAGGGCCGCTTGCCCAACAGCGGCCGCTGTTGGTTTGGGACAACATTTGCTGTTGAGCATTGTACCCATTTCTTCCGTACCCATTTCGGGCGTCCAAATGCTTGCCTCTGGGGTGCCCGGGGCGTCTTCGAGCAGTGACGCAGCGTTCCGGCTCGCCGGCAGGCCCACCAACGAATCTTCTAAGAACCATTTGTGGTCTGCACGAAGCGCTCTTAGAGCGTTTTTTTGTTTCTGGCGGAGTCTGTTCTGTTCTAACATGTTGGGTTTGGGTTCTAAGAACCTGTTTTGTTGTTCGGTCATTTCTGGGTTCTAAGAACAATGTGTGGTACGCCTATAGAAATGCCCGGACGGCCGGTCCCTGCTCAGTTTCTTTGGTTTCGATGGTTTTGTTGTGGAATGCGTGACGCTCCCACACCAGAAGTCATGGTCGCCCTGGGGTCTCAGGGTTGGGTTTCTTGTGGAAGGTTTCTTGTGGTCGATCTCCTACCGTAGTTCATCAGAGGAGCATGGAGTCACGATAACGGTGCGGTCCAACGTTCCCAGGATTTCCATGATCTTATCGCTCCGTACGGGATCCGTAAGCAGGGGCCGCTGGATGCTCCTGGAGCTCCTTGCACGCATCCTGAGCCAACCGAATACTAGCTGCCGTCGTCGCCGTGGCCTCCCCTAGGAGCAGGAGGGAGCAGGAGGGAGGAGGAGGAGGAGGAGGACGAGGAGGAGGAGGAGAAGGGTGGAGGGAGGAGAAACCAGGTGGAGGGAGGAGGAGGAGGAGGAGAAGGGTGGAGGAGGAGGAACCAGGTGGAGGGAGGAGGAGGAGGTGGAGGAGGAGGAGGAGGAGGAGGGAGGAGGAGGGAGGGAGGAGTAGGAGGAGCAGGGAGGAGGAGGAGAGGAGGAGGAGGAGGAGGAGGACTACGACGAGGCTCGAGGAGGAGGAGCAGGAGGAGCAGGAGGAGAAGGAGGAGGAGGAGGACTACGACGAGGCTCGAGGAGGAGGGAGGAGGCAGGCGGGAGGGGGCAGGAGGAGCTACCGAGGGAGGAGGAGCCACTGAGGGGAGAGGCGAGCAGGAGGGAGACCGGGAGGGAGGGGGGCAGGCACGCACCCCGCCTCCTCCCGCGAGGAGTGGCAGGTCGCCCAGGGCATCGAGGGCCGCCTCGGGCTGCTCCACCTCGCCTGCTTCCCCTCCGCCGCGGAGCCGGGCGCCGCGCTGGCCTGGTTCGCGGGCATCCAGGAACTGCTCTGGGCCGACCAGGCCGTCTGGAACGACATCGAGGCGGCGGCGGCTCCGCGCCTCTCGGGCGCCAGTCGCCGTCTCGTGGCCGCCGTCTCGTGGCCGTCGTCGTGGTGCGCCTCTGGTCGTCGTCAGGTTCGTCGTCGTCGTTCTGTCGTCGTAGACGTCCCCCCTCCTCCTGCCTCCTCGTCTCTTCTCCGTCGCCGCTGTCCTCGTCTTCCCTCCCTCCACCCTGCATCCTCCACCCTTAGTTTCTCCCCCTCGGCAGACGGCGGCGCTAGCCCTCTTTCTGCGTTTCTTGTCCTCGGCACTGGGCCAGCTCAGAATCTGTTCTGCTGGGGGTCTTGGACCGTTCGTTTCAAATGTTTGCAAGAGTTTCACTGATTGAGAGCGCCTTGGCGCCGCGCACATTCGTTTCTAGAATGTGTAAGAGTGTCACAAGTTTAGGGCGATTATTTTTCAAAAAGTGGTTCTCGCCTTAGCGCCGCGCAGATTCGTGTTTTTTGTCCCCCCAAGGTTGCAGGAGTTCCAAGGATTCCCATGATCAACGCACCAGGCATGGCGCTTTGGAAGGACTCAGGATTATGAGGGTTCAATTGTTACGTTGGTTCGCGGTGTTGCGTCCTCGAAATGCTGTGCTGGCACGGATCAAGACAGCCAAGACGCAACAGTCAGGTTGACTCGTGGCGTTGGAGTCCTGAATCATGATTAGCACCCGGTTGTCCCCGAGCGGGGCGCTTCCCTTAGTGAAAATTAACCCATGTAGGGCCTCTCAGAGGAGGGAATTTGGGTGGAGGGTGTAGTCCAACACCGTTGACGAGTCTTGGGTTTCGATTGGTCCTCCTCCTTTTCCTGTTCCTCCTTTTCTCCCGCTTGTTCTCCTCGAAACGGGGGCGGCGTGCAGGTGATGGGCCTCCTCGCCCGCTTCGAGACGAGCCTGAGCCTGCCCGAGAACCACGTCCTCCTGCTGGAGGACCCCGGGGGCGGGGGCCGAAGCGGAGCTCGAGCACCCTGTCTGCCCGGGGGGGCACCGCAGGGAAGGAGGAAGGTGGAGGAGGAGGACGGGGGGAAGCGGGGGGAGGACGGAGGGAGGAGGGAGGAGGAAGGAAGAGGAGGAGGGATGGAGAGAGGGAGAAGGACGAGTTCGGCGCCCACAAGGAAGCGCTCATCTGAGAGGTGGGGGAGCGGTGGGCCCCCCTCGCACGGCCACGTCTTTTCTGAGACATTTTGCCGATACTCCAGCCTGAAAGGAGGGAGGGAGAAGGAGGAGGGAAAAGCGGAAGGAGAGGGGGAGGAAGGTTCGAAGAAGAACAAACGCCATGAACATACACTGTTGGTGTTCCGCGCGGATTTTTTGGATCCGCGTCAGGCCTCCAAAATGTCAGCGCGGAGCGCCAAAAGATTATGTTTATCCTCCTCTCCTCCTCCCACGTTTCCAAGAATCTGTGGGAGTTTGTGTCCTACCTGTATGCATCGGGTGATTGAGATTCCCTGACCTGGGACTCTGTGCCCCCCCTGTGCCCATTGGCTGTCTCCAAAGGATCTGGGACTCTGTGTCCTACCTGTTCCCATCGGCTAAGCGTGATTCGAGGATCTGGGACTCTGTGTCCCCCCTGTGCCCATCGGCTGGACATGATTCAAGGATCTGGGACTCTGTGCCCCCCCCTGATCTCACCTGCGACGCATTGGTACGACAGCGACGTGCATGACACGCCCGCGCTGGGGCCTCGGGTCTTACCTGTGCGCATTGGGGCGTGTCCCCACGCGGGCACCTCGGTGCACGCTGGCGGGACTCTGGCTGGCCTGGGACGCTGGCCTCTCTCCTCCCTGTCCGTTTTTTCCCTCCTCGCTCGCTTTCCCCCCCTCCCATGGCGGCAGCGCCCAGCACAGCGCGGCTCCGGCCCGGTGCTGGCACTGCACCTTGCCGCCTCGGCGGCCCCGCTCACCCTGGGCAGCGCGGCTCAGGCCTGGCCCACGGCAGGCGGACACAGTCGGCTTTCATGCCGAACCTCGTGGCTGCTACCTGGACGTGGATTGGACTACCACCCCAGGCCGCTACTGACCACCCGGCGGCACAACGTTGCACATCGACTTCGTGGTCATCCTCATCTCCTGGTCCTCTCCTTACCAGTCGGTGGCACCTTGCGCACTTCGCCTACAGGTTCTTCCTCTACCTCACGGACGTTGACATGGTCACGGCCCTCCCCGCGCAGCACCCGAGGATGGTGTTCCTGGCGCGCCGTTGGCAATGCCAAGTCGCTTTCCCTCTGGGACTTCGCCCCCGGCTCCTGTCCACGGCGTACTTTTTCCTGTGCGAGATCTTCGGCGCCGCCTGCACTCCGCGCCCTCCGGCCGCCTGAGGCCCCGCCCGCCCGCGCCCTGTCTCCCCGATTGGTGCTTCGCGCGCCCCGCCTAGCACTTAACCAGAAGGGGCCCGCTCCCGACCCGCCGACCAAACAAAAACGAGGACTGCTGCGGGGGCCCGGCGCAGGTTCAGATTCGACCTCGTCAGCTTTGGGGGATGCGGACAGCAACTCTGTCGCCGCTTTCGAGAGTTGCTGACGGGGCCTGCATATAGCGGGTACCAGGCGCAGATCCAGATTAAACCTCGTCGTCCTTGGGGGTTGCGAGCTGCGAAACAGTCGCCACTCTCGAGGGTCGCAGGGGGGCCTCGCCAGCCCTGGGGGGGCTGCAAACTGCGAAACCCTCGCCACTTTCGAGGGTTGCTGGAGGGCCCAGCATAGTGGGTACCAGGCGCGGACCCAAACTAAACCTCGCCAGCCCACCTCCTCCTCCTCCTCCTCCTCCTCCTCCTCCTCCTCCTCCTCCTCCTTCTCCTCCTCTTGTTCCTCCTCCTCATCCGCCTATTCCTCCTCTGTCTCCCTCCTCCACCCTCTCGCTCCCCTTCCTCCTCCTTCAATTTCTCCTCCTCATCCTCCTCCGATTCCTCCTCCATCCTCGCCGTCTCGGGTAAGACAGGTTCCCCAGCCTTTGGTTAGTCTGCGTGCTCCCCGCGTCCCTGGTCACCTCCATTCGCCTGGGCATTCGCTGGTCGAGAACCAGCAACACCAGCAACAACAGCAGAAGCAACACCAGCAGGAGCAAGAGCACCAGCAGCAACACATGCAACCTCCACCACAAAAAATATCCCAATTCACCGTTGTCGGCAGCTCGGTTTCACTATGTGTTTCTTTCTTCCCTTTCTTCCGTCAGCTCCCTTACGCATCGTTTGTGGATGGGCTGGCGGTGATACGCGTAGCGTCTAGAATTTTGTTTCGGGTTCTGCCCAATGGAGCGCTGGGCACGCAGCGCTGCCCGCGCAACGTCGCTCTGGCGCTCCACAAAACCAGAGCTTCATAGCGAGTGCAAGAAACGAGCGAGGCCCAGTTCACACGACAGTTTCGCCGCCTCTTTCCTATACGCTTCAGTTCGGGAGCTACTCTCCCGCGGGCGGCCCGCGGGCAACGAAATCAATGCAGGGGTTCGTCACAAGGCCCGCCCCGTCTGCGGCGTAGAATTTGGGATCGAGCTCCACCAGCTTCCTGCCGTAAGGGCCCGCCTTGTATTTGTTTTTGCGCACCCACGCGCCGTATGGCAGGTACTGCAGGTACGACACATGGTGTTCGCACTTTCGCTGCCTCCTCCACCTCGCCCTCATCATTCGATTGAACGACCGCGTGGGCGACCTCGCCCTCGGCGTCTTCGACGAGCCCCTCTGTCGAGGTCCAGGTGCTTCAGCAGGCGTATGCGCATGCCCGCGCGCATGGGTAGCATCCCGCGCATGCTGCCCAGCTTTACGGCCATGCCAACCGGCAACGGGGGCGAGGACGAGTCGGCTCAGCCCAAGCGACAGGCGCCCCACGTCGCGCGCATCATCATCCACCGAGCCACGGTGCCCCACCACCGTTCCTCGTCCAGCCGCCCCCTGGAGATAGAGAGGTCGAATATAGTCTGAATCTGCGCCTGGTGCCTAGTATGTTGCCCCCGTTTTATCAGCCCTCGGGAGTGACTGCCGTTTCGAAGTTCGCAGCCCCCCCAGGCCTGGCGAGGTTTCATATGAATCGGCGCCTGGTACCCACTATGCTGCCCCCCCGCCACAACCATCGAAACTGGCGACGGTTTCGCAATTCGCCCAGACGAGGAGGAGGAGGGGGAGGAAAAGGGTGATCAGAATGGCCAGAGGCCTATTGGATGCCTCTCGGAATATTTTCGAATGTCTCTTGGGAGTGTCCTGAAGGCCTGTTATGTCGTTTTGGGAGCGTCTTGGCGGTCCTAGAGGCCTTTTGGAGCGTTTTGGATGCTTCGGGGAGCCTCTTGGGGCATCTTGGGGGTATTTTGGGGGCCTCTTGGGGGCCTTTTGGGCCTTTTGGGAGCTTCTTGGGGCCTCTTGGGCGCCCCTTGGGGCCTTTTTGGAGCCCTCTTGGGAGCCTTGGGGGCGCTCTTGGGGTCATTTTGGAGGAGATCGATCAAAAAAGGGAGGGGGGTTAATTAGCACCGCCCCTCGGGAGCCTCTAAAATCGCCTCTTGGACCACTATTGGAGCGCTCTTGGAGCGCTCTTCTGCGCTCTTGGGGCTGTCTTGGGGCTCTCTTGGGCCCCTCTTGGGGCTTTCTTAAGCCATTTTGGAGCCATCTTGAGGCCTCGGATGGCCATCGGAAGCGAAACGGCGAGACAGCAAAAATCATTGGTTGTCCCTAGGTTTTCAAACGATGTGTGCCTCTTGGAGGCCTTTTTGGAAAGCTATTTGGACTCTTGGAGCCGTCTTGGGACGGTCTTGGAGCCTCTTGGAGCATCTTCGGAGCCATCTTGAGGTATCTTAGGCTATCTTGTTCAATCTTGGAGGTCATCTTAGGCTTTCCGAAGCGCTCTTGGAGCCATTTTGGGCGAAAGCGTACCCTCTAACCGCTCGCGAAACGCCCCGTCCAGGTCCAGGGGAGAGGGTTGGGGGGAAGGGTTAACCCCTCCCCGCAGGGGAAGAATGAGGGGAAGGACAAACTTTCTAAACCACCTAAGCCCAGAGGGCTGGTGGGATTCGTTCTCGCCCCGCCCCGGTCCTCGTCGTCCTCTTCCTCGTCCCACCGTTTCTCCGCTGCCGCCGCGCAGCGCGTTCGGCCCCTCCTCGCGCCCTTGTCCTGCCCCTCGTTCCCACGCGCATGTCCTTTTGAGCCCGAGGCCCCAGTCCTCGTCCTACTGTCGCTGTCCCGCAAGTCATTGTCCCATTGAGCCAGCGCAGCCAATGGCGGCGCTCACGCTGTCGCTGTCCACGCGAAGCTAGGCCAATTCGTTTTGTCAGATGGTGCAGATGGGTCAGGTACGTCGCAGGGGGATCGCCCCCAGACGGGCGCGACCTGGGGGAAGGGGGAAGGGGGCCCGTCGCGTCAGGATCCGCGCCGCCGCCGTCTGGGAATGTTTCGGTCCAGACGGCGTCGGCACGAGTCGCGACGTAATCATGGGGGTGGGGTGCGGGGCCAGTCGCAAGCGTTATCACGAATCATAGAATACGCGTTCAAGGAAAGAGGACAACGGATGGAAGAGGCAAGGGGGGGCGAGAGGGGGAACGGATAGCAGAGGATGGGGGAGGGGCAGGCGGGAGGCAGGAGGGAAGGGAGGAGCTTTCTGCTCCAGGGTCCCCATATACGGGAGGGGGGGTGCAGTCCGCACTCGCGGCTCCGAGGGCCGCGACGGGAGGCGGAAGGAGGGTTGTTTTTGTTTAATCCCCGGCGATAGCGGGCGATAGCCGGCGACGGTCGAGACGGATGCGTTTCATCTTTTCGGCGTCTTCGGGCCTTCGCAGGGCCCCGCAACGGTTACAAAACAGATTGAGGATGAAACGCCGCGCCACCTTTTTGGGAAGTGGGTAAAGACCTCTGGGGGTCGACGTCACGGAAGGACATTAAGTCGGGCGTTTGGGCGTGGATACCGTTTTTGTATCCTTTGACGGGCGTGGTGGAGGGCATTATGGATTTGCAGACGGCGCCGGCGAGAATCGTGACGTGACCAGTGGGGTAGGGGGGGGCGCGGGGCCAGTCACGGGAGGCATCGCGAATAAAAAGGATACGGGCTCAAGGAAGAAGGATGATGGAAGAGGGAACGGGGACGAAAAGCGCGGAGAGAGAGGCGGACGGGGGAGAGGGAAATGGGATGCAGGAGGGCATGGAGGAGTAATGGCGTTTCCGGGCTTCTGCAGCAATCAGCGAACCAACAAAGGGAGGAGGGAGGAAAGGCGGAAGGGGGGAACACTTCACGTCTTGGCGAAGCGGCCGTCACAGGCACCGGAAACCGCAACAAAATGTGCGACGTTCGCGGACGCGTCTGGGTACGAGCCTCTGGCCAAGGCCGACGAGACTTCACCTCCCAGCCTGCGACTTCATCTCCCAGCCTGTGTGCAAGTTGCGGTTGCACCCTGTTCCAACACGACCGCAGGCGGTGCAAGCCCGGCCCAGCACGCGCTCGAAACAGCGGAAATGGGGGGGACCGTCAACCCGCATAGGAAGAATAAACAATGTTCCAAGGTTGCCTTTGCATCCTTCCCCTTCGGCCCATCATTGGCCGCTTTCGCTGGCCGCGCCCCGCTCGCAAAGTGTCAGTGTGGCCTTCCAAGGCCCTTGCATCCTCACAGTGCGTCCTCATCTTGCACGGGCTGATTTTAGCATGCACATCCCTCTCATTGCTCTGGGCACCGATGCGTCTCGACCGCGAGGCGTTCCATAGCGAGTGCCCTCTCGGGGTTTGGCAGGGAGGAGTGAGGAGGGAATGAAAGAGGGAGAAGAGGAGAAAGGGGAGGGAGGGAAGGAGGGAGGGAGGAGGAGGACTGCTGTCCCCACCCCCGCTCCACCCCCATCACCTTCCCCCCTTACATCTATCCGCCTTGTTCCCCCCTGCCCCCTTCTCCTTCCCCTCCATCCCTCCTGCCTTTCCTTGTTCCAGGAGGGACTCAAGTACGGATCGAAGTTTCCCGAGTTTGGTATCCCCGTGCCCCTGCACCTGAAGCGCAAGGGCAGGTGGGAGAAGGTCAATTGCGACTCCGCCTACCCGGAGGACTCCCTCCCCATCACCTATGTCATCCTCTGTTGCTTCCGCCCCTGTCCATCCCTCCCTCTTCCATCCTCCTCGCCCCCCCTAAATTGCCCCTGGTGCTGCTCTCCTCTACGGCAACGCCGTGCCTCCTCCTCAACCTGTTCGTCCTCCTCTGGCCTGCCACACTCTCTCCACAAAGCTTGTCAAGGTTAGCGTCCTCATGATCCTCTTTTCTCTCCGTCCGCCTGTATTATCCCCCCCGTCCTCTGCCTCGCTGCCTCATATTCTCTTCCCCCCGCTCCTCCATCCACTTCCTACCGCTGGTCCTTATCATCTGGTCTTCCTCCTCGAACCTCCGCCACCTTCCTCACCCATCCTACACATCCTCTGTCTCCCTCTTCCGCCCCTTCTCCCCGATCATTTCCCCTTCCTCTTCCCTCGTCCTCCTCATCCTCCTTCCGTTCCGTTTCGTCTCCCTCTCCACATCGTCCTCACATGTTCCCCTTTCTTTCTCCTTTCCAGTTTCTTCTATCTCCTCCGCATCCGCCTCCTCCGCTCCTCCCCCCATCCCATCCTCCTCTTCTCCCTCATCCTTCCTCCTCCACACAATTCGAGGACGGTGAGGCCCTCGTGGTGCCCCCGAACAACCCGCAGGGCCCAGCGCCTGTAATCCTCTACTTGCTGGGCGCGGGCAAGTTCAACAGTCGCGAGTCGTTCCTCGGCGGCGAGATGGCGGTTCCACCGCTCATTACCCCTCCTCTTCCTTCCCTCCTCATCCTCCTCATCCCCATCCTCCTCCTCCTCCTCGTTCTCCTCCTCCTCCCCCTCCTCCGTCTCCCCCTCCTCCCCCTATCGATGAGACACCTTTCAAATAAACCATGATGTTAGTTTCCTTGAGATCCTCTTCGAGCCCTCTTGGGGTGTTTCTGGGGCACCTTGTGCCGTATTGGATGCACCTTGGGCCGTCCTGTGTGCATCTAGGGCCGTCTTGCAGACATCGTGGAGCCATCACGACCGTCTTGGAGGCATCTTGGAAGCTTTCTTGGGCCATGGGTCCCTTCTTGGAGGCGGCCTGGACAATGAGATATTTGGTCCTTGCATGTCTGGGCCCACTGGGAACCTTCATCCCAAAATCGGCACGCCAGGCACCCCTTCTTTCATACATCAGAACGGCGGGTCGAAGACGCCCACGGCGAATCACCACTGCCCCCCTTCCGTTTGGAAGCGCTTGTGTTGCCGAACGTTGCGGCCAGGGCTCGGCCAAGCTATCGGACTATGTGTTCCCCCAGCCGTTGCGGAAACACTTCGGGGAGCACGTGGGGCGGAACATGACGAGGAGGAGAGGCAGCGAAAAGGAGAAGGAAGCGGGTGCCTCGTGGGAGACTCTTGGTGCACTCTTAGGGCCTCCTGGGAGTTTCCTGGGGGACTCTTGGAGGCCTCTTGGAGGCCTCTTGGGGGCGTCCTTGGGCCTCTTGTGGGCCTTCGGATGCGCCTTGGGAGGCTCGTTGGCCGTCTGGGTGCGTTGCTTTCCTTTCCCGTTTGACGCCGTTGGATTCCGTCTTGGGGGCCTCTCTGGGCCGACTTGGGGCCCTCTTGGGGCGCTTCGGGGCCGTCTTGGAGGCCATCTTGGGCGTCTTGGAGGTCTCCTGGACCGTCTAGGGGCCCTCTTGGGGCCATTTTGGGGGCCTCTTGGGCCGTCAGGAGGCCATCTCGGAGGCATGTTGGGCGTGTTTGGGGCCATCTTGGTGGCCTCTACGGCCGTCTTGTGCCGTCCGAAAAGGTAACATGAGCAAGCGCCAGAATCCTTCAAACCAAAAGAAGAAGCAATGACGTCGGCCTCTTCGGGCCTTCCTGGAGGTCCTCTTGGAGCCCTCCTGAGCCGTCTTGGAGCGTCCCCCTCCTGCTCGTTGCAGCCAAGCGTACCCTGTCTCAGGCATTCAGAGCTCGTCCCACTCGACGCAGGGTCAACGCATAATTCTGCACATCAGAGAAGCGACAGCTGCCACCCCGGCTTAAGCTTCGCAGCGGGCAGCGAGGAGAAGACCCCCGCATCTTTCGCCCTTTCCCATGGGCCCCTCGCCCGCCATCTGATGTGTGGACACAGGCTCTGAGAGGGGATCACATGCGGTTTCTCTTGCGGGTGGCGGTTCACAACCCATTGTCTTTCATTCAGAGCTCACGTTTGGAGGAGATCGCGAGTGTGTTGGGTGTGGATGTACTTCTTCTCAACGGCACGCGAATCAGAGAGTGGCCAGATAGACTGTATCACGTTCAGAATTTGCCAAACAGACGGGCCGCAGTTCATTTCGGCTGGCGGCGCTCCCCGTATGTGAACAATTGCGCGGGGACCTGCATCGTGCTAGGACGACGGCTGCGACGGAACCACATCACCTCAGTCACCCCAGCGCCGCGCGGATTGGAGGGCAGATCAGGCGACATTCGGATCAAGTCAGGTGATTTCGATAGCCTGGCGGTCACGGGCTACCCACCGCCACTCTACGAGACGGGCTCGGCCAAACGAGCACAACAGCGCAGCATCGAGCTGACCATGCAGCACATCCACAACCGACTGGCGGGCGCACCAGCTCGATGCACGCCCATTGCAGGTTTCGACATCAACTCGGGGTTCGGCCAGAGGATGACGGAGGATATTCGACTCGACCCAGACGAGCAGCACTTCGGCGCCTTTCACCTCAAGCGGAGCGGCATCGCAGGCCACCTGATGTACAACACCATGGAGTCCCTCGACATGGCTCGCGTGAACACCGACTACCCGAGCGCAGGGCCTACATACTACGGACCTAGACAGGACACCGGCACACTAGACATTGGCATCATCGCATCATCTCTCCTGGAGGGTATCAAGACGTGCACAGTGGCCTGGAAACGCGGGCGTAAGCTTCAACTCATCTCCGACGCCCAGCCCAGAGACCACCTCCCCCTGTTCTTCACGATCGACTACGAGATGCCGACGCTCGTCCACCGCCAATTGCGACCCAGATGGGACCACACCAAACTAGCCCGAGCACTACAACATGGCGAAGACCGACTCGGATTCCACCGAGAGCTCGACCAGCGAATGAAAGACATCGCAACCCAGCTTTCCAACTATGCCGACCTGCCGCGCCCTGACTTCGACTACGACCTGTGGGCGCAGACCTTGTTGGACACCGCCCAAGCCCATTTCGGAGCTCACGGAGGCAGACGCGAACATGACGAGGTCATCCACTGGCGCCGCATACGCCTCGAGCAACTACGAGCTCGCCGACAACTACGCGACCAACTCGCCCACCTGTGGCAGGTCTACGGGGACGTCCTGGACCAGCACGAAGTCTACCTGCAAACCCTCAAGAGCGAGATCAACGAGGCCACGTACTACGTCCGAAGAGCGGCACGACAGGGCTATGCGACCTACCGCAAGCACCTGCACCAGGAGCTGGCGGAGGCCCGACGACTGGGGCACTCGGCGGACGTACATCGCATCGCACGGCTCCTCGCGGGCAAGGCGATGGGCGTGAAGAACCGCATATACTGCCATCTCCCTAGCTACATGCCCTCCCTCACCGAGCCTCGCGCCCACGTCGAACGCCAAGGCAGCGAGGGAGACATGGGGGCGCAACGCATCGATCTACGAGCTGAACTGGATCAATTCCTTTCTCCTCAAGGGGACGACTTCCTGCGCATTCGCACGGCGACCATGGTGATCACAGCTGGCACTCTATTCCAACAATTTCTACTTCGACTACGGCGGGCCAAGAAACGACGCAGCACCACTAAGTGGAGCGCGCCAGTGGAAGTGGCTGTGATGGCGCTCGGCCCGACGTTCCTGGCAAAGACGCTCACCACGCACGGTGGCTTGGGCTACTACACCACCACACCAGCGGGGCCCGCGACCACACCCGCTCCGACGCCGACGACGCACCCACCTGCCACCGCCCACTCCACCCCCGCCTCGACTACACCGACACCACTCCAACAGCCCGACGCCGACCACCACGAACCACTTGGGGGGGGGGCTATGGACCGACCTGACGTCGACCCATTCGACGACCTTGACCCCGAGGACCCCCCCACACACACACACACACACACACACACACACACACACACACACACACACACACACACACACACACACACACACACACACGCACCCACCCCACACCCGCCCACCCACCCCCACGCCCGACGAATGCCCACCAGCGCTCGACCTCCAACCAGCACCAGCCCCGACGACTTTCGACCACAGCCCTGACCGACATCCACACACGACACGAGCGCAAGACGGAAGACACACCGCATTGGACGCAGCTTCCCACTACACCAACGCCAAGTCCCACGTCATGGACATCCCCATCCACTGCCTTCGGGCCAACCAACTCCCGACCAAATTCAGCATCACCGAAGGCATCCCCCTCGACAAACGCAACCTGAAGAAGCAGATGTCCAGCCAACGAATCATTCACCTCTCAGACGCGATCTGGAAGAGTTTCTACGCTGTTCCCTACGGCTGGGGGATCGCAAGCTGGCCTGGGCGAATACGATCCCCAGCCATTGGCGCGGATTCCTGGCACACCGACGCCGCGAAGGAGCAATCTTGGTGCAGCGACGGACAGGCTGGTCACTTCGACGCCAGAGGCAACGCCACATCAACGAGCTTCACGACCTTACCAATGCATTCCTCTGCCCAAGGACAGGTGACCTCCTACGCATCAGCCAACAACTTGTACGCGACGATATTCCGACATTGGCGCATCACCGATTGGTTAACAGCATTGCGCTTTTTCCAGTGGAGGACAATGAGGAGGCTTTCCTACTGCATGACGGTGGATTGCAGGGATCAAGCGAAGCTCCCAAACAGATCGCAGGCGTCTATCACGAATGCATTACACATTGGAATAATCTCCCCCAGGACCCGATCATTACATATGACGAGATAGAGGGATGCCACCAGGATGTATCCTTATCAGGCTTCGCCGACGACATGCTGAAGAAACGACTGTGCCCGCCAGGCACGGCGGAGGAGGCTTTAAAGATGATTATGGTGGGCGGCAAGCTTTTCGGCTATGCACTCCACCATTGGCACTTTGCGCAGAACAAATCAAAAAAACAAAAAAATCGTTCCTTGCCTCGGGTCTCATATTGAAAACCGGAAACTCCAGGAACTTTGCCCTTCTTCTCAGGGGCAAGTCGTTTCAGATGCCCGCCGCCTTGGAGCTCGCTACACCGTGGCAGATAGTAACAAGTTGGGGATCTCGAATCGCGCGCACTCCATGACCGCGGGGCGGTGCCAGCTGGGAAAGTTCTGGAACGAGAGGGGGCTCTGGAAGCTCAAGCGTGAAATCTTCCTGGGCAAAGTGGTCGAGCCTGGGACCTCGGGTCTGGGGGGCTTCGTCCTGAAGAAAATCGAGGAGAAGAAGCGGGGCGCCCAAACCGCGAAGTATCTTCGTGCCTTGATGCAGGGCCGCGCCAAGACGACCAACGTGGACTCGCACATGACTGCGATGAGTAACGCTTGGAAGATCCTTCCAGTGAGAGCAGAGCTAGCGGTCAGACGAATTAAATGACATCAGAGCATGTGTCGCCACAAACGAGCACATCGTCAAACCCTGGTCGCCATGTTCGGACACGTCCCGAACGAACCGTCTACCCTGGACGAAATCGGCCGCGCCTGAGCTACTGCGAACCCGTGGGCCCATCAGTTTTCCAGGGGCCTCGACCTTTTCAGGGACGTCAGCGGCGCGGGAAGTTTCTGGGAGATCTGGGCCGACACGAACATGTCTTGGAAGGCCCTCCTCACCCCGAACTCCGAGTCCGAACGCGCTTTTTTAGAATAGATCCAGGCATTCTACGAGCAGCAGCACGCGCCCCAGGGAGCCCCATATGGCCTCGATTCTACGACACCCCCACGGACATGACAGATGTGAACCCGAAGGTATTTAAATGCAAACTTCTAGACCACGAAACTGGACGAGGTTGTGCGTTGAAATTCCCGAGTTATCCACAGTTAACTACTCACCAAGCCTCTCGACATAGACTTCGATTTACTATCCCGAGCAGTGTGATCACGAACCAGTGCCCCGATTGCTACACGGTCTCGAAAAGCCGAGCTTGCGCCCAAAATCACCTTCTTATCTTTGCCTACGCCCAGGGCCGATGTCGCATGGGACGGAACACTATGAAATTGCCCTTGACGAACGTGAAGGACCCCACGGCGCCCTCTGTCCCGCGGCCTTTTTCAGATCTGGCCTCACTCTACGAGCACAGCAGAATCGAGCACCTTCCGAGGCCAAGCCCGCGTCTCGACCACGCCGGCGCTACTGCAGGTCGGCAGCGGCGACGCCGAGATGCCCTTCGAGCGCAACCAGCGCCAGAGAAAGGACGGGGACGACGAGGAAAACATGAAGAAGACGTACCAGGCGGCGAAACAACAGCTCCCCACCCATACCAAGAAGCCGATGACGCTCATCGTGAAACAACTACTCCGCTGTGCTCAGCAGAACCGCGACATGAGCAGCGCCATCTTCGACACATGGGTCTTCAAGAGCGAAAGCCCGCTCATCCTTCGCATTCAGGAGCAGACAGCCGCCCGCGGCAAGGTCACCAAGGAGAAGGGAAAAGATCACGACCTCGGACCTCCACAGATCTACGCGATGGGAGGCCTACTTGCAGCGGTGAAGGAGCTTCAACTAGAGGACCCGCCCAAGACACAGGTCACGAAAATGTTCGCGGACTACGACAACTACGACAACGAGCAGAAGTCCGAGCTGGTGCTCTTCTGCGACGTCGACCGCATGTACGAGAAGGAGAAGAAGAGGCTGACGCTCGCGGTCCGCGAGCCACAATTTCGGGGGCACTTGATGCAGGCGTCGAAAACGACCTCAGCCAAGCGGAAATACGGCAGGGCACCAGCGAAGCACATGGAACGGGAGCTTCAGGAATGGGTGGGACAGCTCTTGATGCGATTGCCGAGGACACGAGAATGGGTGGCACAGCTCACAGTGGGATTACCGATGACAGCAGAATGGGTGGGACAGCTCATGGCGGGATTACCTATGAAAAGGCTTGGGGTGGGGACGAGGCCGCAGCAATGAGCGAGAACTTTTCAGCAACAGCGCTGCGTGAGAGTGATGCGACCCCAGTTGAGACCAGGGGCATGCAGTCTGTCACGCTCAACCCGTCCCCCGTCTCGGATCTTCGAGTGTGCACGATGTTTCTGGGCGCCAAAAATGTGTTCCCTGGTAGTCGTATTTTTGACAGTTTAGTCTCGAGTAAGCACGTTTTGCAACAAGCTAGAGTTTGGCATCGATCGCAAACTTGATCGTCCCGTTTTTCGGTGTGATCCCCTCGACCTCTCCACACGTCAGAGGTCGTGGGTCTCGGGCTGGGGCTTAGTCGAGCCCGTCGGCTGCGAGACCGCCACATAGGGTGCGGGTTTTTTTGGCCCGCCATAAAGCTGGGACATCGCTCCGTTTTGAAGGAGAGTTGCGAGCTGCGTTTCGTGCACTAGCTTGTGATGCTGGAACCTCGGGGCGAATGGTGCGAATGAATGAATGAATCAGAGAAGCGACAATGGGGCATGGTTCCAAGAGTTGTCGAGCTGCGTTGGATATTCCGTCCATCCATCCATCCGGGCTGCCGTTGTGCAATCCTTCCAGCTTTGTTTGTCACGCTGTTCTTCGTACTCCTGCTATGGTCCCTGCTGTTTCTCTTAAGCCTCGAGACGAACGTGGCGATACCACTTCTGCTTCTCCTTCCCCTACCCCTTTTCATTGCCTCTTGTCCTCATGCGGCTCCCCCCTTTCAACCCTGATGTTCTGTTGTCGCGGTTCCCCATTTCATCGTCTTTGCTCGCATGAGCATCATCATTATCACCATCAGCATAATCATCAATATCATCATCAACATCATCATTACCACCAAGAACATCATAAGCATCACCACCACCCTTACATCATCATCATCATCATCAGCATGATACTCATCATCAACATCAACATTAGCATCAACATAAGTAGCCACCACCATCACCATCATCACCATGACCACCATCATCATCGCCCACTCCTTACGCCGGCCTTGTTCTCCTCCTTGACTCCACCCCCGTTCCCACGATTTCCTTGTATACTCTCCTCCTCCTCCCCCGTCCCTTTCCCTCTCTCTCCCCCTCCCTCCTTCATCCTTCCTTTCCCCCCGGTGTTGTGGGAGAACGAACAGCTCAGAGAAGACTATTACGTGGTGGTGCCCAAACCCGACACCCGCACGGGCCTCATCTACTACCTCGGCCAGGGTTTCAAGAGGGAGTGGTCCGAGGACACCATGGTATGGGGAGATGTTTTGGGGGCGTTGAATTTTTTGGGGCTGGTTTTCGATCGTTTTCGGGGGCTCAAGGCGTCGCCGGAAGGAGGGGTCGGGGGAGGGTGGACAGAGGGCGACAATTATCCAGGTCCTGAAGAAAGGAAGGAGGACGAGGAGGAGGAGGAGGACGAGGAGGAGGAGAAGGAGGAGAAGGAGGAGGAGGAGGAACAGGAGGGGTGGAACGGCAGGGAGGAGGAGTAGGCGGAGGTAGAAGAGGAAACGGGGGAGGGGGAGGGGGAGGCGGAGGAGGAGGAGGAGGAGGAGGAGACGAGGAGCAGAAGGAGGAGGAGGAGGACGAAGACGAGGAGGACGAGGAAGAGTTGGAGGAGGAGGAAGAGGAGGATGACAAGGACGAGGACGAGGAGGAGGAGGAGGAGAAGATGGAAAGGGCCAGTGTTAGGGATGGCCGGTTCTGGACGGCAGGGCACCACGCAACAGCCATCCCCGGGGGTTTGATGCCGAGCATCGGCGGGTTTCGCCGATGCGCTTTCGCAAAACGCCCGTGGCAAAACGGCCCACGGCGCCTGGAGGAGGAGGAGGAGGAGGAGGAGGAGGAGGACGAGGAGGAGGCGAAGAAGAAGAAGAAGAAGCAGAAGACGAGTCATAAGAAGACTAATAATCAGACGAAGAATACTATGAAGAATAAGCAGGAGGAGGAGGAGGAGGAGGAGGAGGGAGGAGGACGACGAGAAGGCGGAGGAGGAGGAGGAGGAGGAGGGAGGAGGAGGAGGAGGAGGAGGAGGAGGAGCAGGGGGAAGGAAGGAGAAGGGAGAGGAAGGAAGGAGAAGGGATGAGGTGTCTCGAGCGCACTGGCATACATGTGTATATGTGTATGCGATGTATGTGATGTATGTGATGTGATGTGATGTGATGTGATGTGATGTGATGTGATGTGATGTGATGTGATGTGATGTGATGTGATGTGATGTGATGTGATGTGATGTGGTGTGGTGTGGTGTGGTGTGGTGTGGTGTGGTGTGGTGTGGTGTGATGTGATGTGATGTGATGTGATGTGATGTGATGTGATGTGATGTGATGTGATGTATGCATGCATGCATGCATGCATGAATGAATGAATGAACGTATGCATGTGTGCATGCATGTATGCATGCATGTACGTATGCATGTACGTTTGTATGTATGTATGTATGTATGTATGTATGTATGTATGTATGTATGTATGTATGTGTGTATGTATGTATGTATGTATGTATGTATGTCTGTATGCATGCATGCATGCATGCATGCATGCATGTTTGTATGTATGTATGAATGCATGTATGTAAACATGTAAGTATGCATGGATGCTTGTATGGCTGTACATATGGATGTATTGATGGATTGGTGTATGGATGGAGTGGTGTATGGATGTATGTATGTATGGATGTATGAGAGAACGCGTTGCGTTTCACGAGCGCTTGCCTTGGGAACATTCGGCGGCGCGTTCGAACCTGGGGGTGGGCCCCTCCCCCAACACTCGGTGCCGTCGATCAAAACCAGGGGGACTCTCCTCCCCCCCAAACCCCCTCCCCTCCCGAACCCCCCCCCTCTCCTAAGGGGGGGGGGTCAAAACCCCTCCCCTCCCGCCCCTCGGGTCCAAGATGGCCCTTAGAGAGCACCGTGGCGGCCCAAGATGGCCCCAAGACACCCTCCGGAGCATTCCAAATCGTGAGCCGGTCGTTCAGGGAGACCGCGGTTGAAGGCAGGGTGGCCCGAGGAAGCCCCCACAGGCCCCCAGAATACGCTCAGGAGGCCTGCAGAAGGCCTTAAGAAAGCCTGAAACAACTTTTGCGAGGCCCCCAGAGGCTCTCCAAGGAGGAGCCTCCGCAAAAAAGAGCTGAGGTGGATGGGGAGAATGCGCAGGGTATGGCGAAAATGAGGAAAAAGAAGCATGGAGGAAGGAGAACGAAAAACATTATTATAGCGGCGATGTCGAAAAAGGCAACAAGGAGTTATCGCTAAATTGCCAGCTTGACCTTTCTGCTATTCCGCCTGCATGCCAAACTTCAAGGACCAAGGTGCATGGCGCGAAGCGCCACTGTAGTCTTGTATATATATATATATATATATATATAGGTATATGTATAAATATGTATGCTTATGTATGCGTATGTGTGTGTGTGTTTGTGTGTGTTTCCCGTGGGAGTGTTTGCACATATGGGTTTCTTTTTGATGTCTCTTAGGCGAGGTTTCATCATGTTTCCGCCCGTGGCCGCTTCGTGGCCGCCTCGCGCATTCAGTGGGTCTGGCTAGGTTTCGCCACGTTGCCGCCCGTGGCCGCCTCGTGGCCGCCTCGTTCGCCGGGGGGGCCTGGCGAGGTTTGGCCACGTTGCTGCCCATCGCCGCCTCGCGGCCGCCTCGTGCGCTGGGGCGGTCCGGCGAGGCTTCGCCACGTTGCCGCCCACCTCGCGACCGCCTCGTGCGCTCGGTGTGGCCGGCGAGGTTTCGCCACGTTGCCGCCCATGGCCGCCTCGTGGTTGCCTCGTGCGCTTGAGGGGTCTGCGAGGTTTCGACGCGAGGCCGCCCGTGGCCGCCTCGTGGCCGCCTCGTGCGCCGTGTGGGTTTCTGCGAAGTCTCGCCGCGCGGCCGCCACGTGGCCTCCTCGTGGCCGCCTCGTGCTCCTGGTGGGTTCGGCGAGGTTTCGCCACACTGCCGCCCGTTGCCGCCTCACTTCGCAGCTCACACCACAGAGTTGGCACCACCTGGCTTGCACTTCCCAGCTCATGCCAAACAGAGTGCCCCGCACACCTAACACCGCATAGCTCACAGATCATAGCTCACACCACGTAGATTGCACCGCCCAGCTTACACCACATAGCTCACGCCACACAGACGGGACTGCATATACATTGCATCACTTATTTTGCACCACATACACCATATAGTTCCCACCACATAGTTTGCACCACATTGATTGCATCACATAGCTTACACTACAGAGCTCCTACCACATATTTTGCACCAGATAGATTACACAGCATAGCTCACACCACACATGTTACACCACATATAGTACGCCACATAGCCTCCCCCTCATAGCTCACACCACATAAATAGCACATCTCAGTTCACACTACATAGCTGACACTTCCATAGTGCATCCATCAGTTCACTGTTTTGGATCCACGCTGGCACATTCTCATTCACATTGATGCCTACAGGTATGTATGTATGTACGTATGTAATCATGCATTATGTATTTATAGTTGCATGCATGTATGTGTGTATGTATGTATGTCTGTCTGTATGTATGTATGTATGTATGTATGTATGCCCGAATTGCCGAATTGTCCGATGTTTGAATCGGGCAATTCGGCCGATTGCTGATTGCCGATTTCGGGCCGCTTGCCATTGCACATGTATGCATGTATGTACGTATGTATGTGTATGTATGTTTGTATGTATGTATGTACGTGTGCATGCAGTCATGCATGCATGCATGCTTGTATATATGTATGTACGTATGCATGTGTATATGTGTGTACGTCGGTTTGTGTGTATGCATGCATGCATGTATGTATGTGCATGTATGTGGGTATGTGTAGGTGTAGGTGTATGTGTATGTGTATGTGTATGTGTATGTGTATGTGTATGTGTATGTGTATGTGTTGTGTGTTACGTGTTATGTGTTATGTGTTATGTGTATGTGTATGTATATGTGTATGCATGCATGTGTGTATGTATATAGGTATAACAAATGTACATGTACCTGTACATGTACATGCTCATACATCTA